GAGAGAGAGAGAGAGAGAGAGAGAGAGAGATGGGAACTTGCAACGGCAGTGCCCTGAGGATGTCCACGTGGGTGGGCAAGCATATGTTGCTGCTAAGTAGAGGAAGCGGTTCACCACAATTTCTTCATAAGTGCGAGGTCTTTAGAAACTCATCCTTATGGAGGCTGTTTTAAATAGAACGAAAATGACACACAGTCCCCAGTCAGGCTTCCTAACTGTTTGAAGAGGGTTGCCACTTTCCCAAAACATTAGGTTACTGTGGGGGAATTTTCCAAAATTGTCAACAATTCCATTTTTAAACTCAGTTCTTCCTCCCAACATAAGACAGATGCAGTACAGCACAAGCTATATTTGGTCTCGTAGGAAATGTTATTTTTACAATGCCGATGCCTACCTGACAGTGGAAGACGTATTCTGGTGTGGTTTTCTTAAACTTCATGTTCCAAACCAAGGCTACTCCATCTGGTTCATGCGGCGCATCTTCATTGTTGTTGTAAGAAGCGACCATCAGCTCAGGGTACTAGATCGAAGAGATCACAAAGGATGCATTATGCTAGGATGATCCCACAAGAAAAACTATCTCATTCACACATACACATGTTACATAGCTCGAATAGTGCTTTCTTGTTAAATTGTGGCATATTTAGTATCAAGGTACTGCCTCCATTTATTGTGTTATAGTGAGGGTTTGCAAGAGAATATACTTAATACAGGATACATAATTTATAGAATTATTTTATAATATTCACCCCAAAATGCAGAGGAGTGCAAGAGATCTGTCCAGCTCTAGAGACCTGAAGAATCCAGCCAAGGGCCTGGATACCACAGCAATGTTCCATGCAGGTCCAGCTGAAGGCCTAGAGCCCATGGCATTGTCCTCTATGAGTTCAGCCAGAGGCCTGCAATGTCTCTTGCTTGCTCTTATCAAGGATCTGCACCAGGAAGACCCAAAGGCCAGTGGTGGAAGCTAGAAAGTCTGTTCTGGAAGAGTGAAGGATCTGTGCCACCAGGCTGAGGAATCTGCACTGCAGCCAGGAAGTGACGTTCACGGTGAAGACTAGAGCTCTCCTGAAAAGAAAACAGCAGCCATCCCCAGTGAAGGCGAGGACCCAAGCTCCTCTGGTGATGAGAACAGCTGAGTTCAAATCAGAAAAACCAGCCTTGGCAAACATCTCCAGGAAAATTAACAGTATACAGTCTTCCCCTCCAGTTTTACTTTTATGCCATTGGCAACAATTCTTACACCCAGAACCGTGCTGACTTAGTTCAGCTGGGCGTTCTAAGTGGACCATTAGTTAATTCACCACATATTGCAATCTGGCTTCTGCTCCACTCCATGTATGGTTGCATGGTCACTAATAACTCCCAAACTGCAAATACTGCTGATTTCTTTGTACCATCTAACGCTTCGGTTTACTCCTTCTTTCTCTTTTGTACCTTTCTTAATGTTCTTTTCTGACCATGTTTCTTTTAGCCCCTACAGGTTTTCCTTTGCTACATATATCCCAAGGTGACCTGTTCTCTTACCTCTTTTTTTTTTCTGTCTATACATTGTCTCCGGATGCAATAACTTCAAAAAACTTAATACGCAGACACTTTTCAAATATTAGTCTAGGCTTGATCCTTCTTTGAGTAACAGTTCCTAAAAACTGACTGCTTGTTGGGGATCCCACAGGGCTTTTCATAAACGTGTCAGATGCAATACATAGAGAAATAAGCTCATTGACGTGCAGACTGCTCTTTCGAGTCTCTATGTTAGAACAAGGCTAGGTTGATCAGATGTTCTACTTTCATTTTCACTCTTCCCTCTCTTTTGTCACCACAAAACAACATGACATTGCTTTCTCCATGCCTTTCAAATGCACATTTTCATTCATTCTTAAAGTAAGATCCTCTTAAATTAACTTTTAGTGTGCTAAAAGTACACATTTCCTAGTCTCCTGCATCCAGGCTTGCCACGTTTTACTCTCCACACGCCATCTCCTGGCAGACAACTTTACAAAACATGTATTTGGTTAAGTTACCTTCAGTTTATAATACTTTAATGGTTCATTACTTTCAAGGAAAAGTGCAAGTCATGTACGATCCTTCCTCACCCATCTTTTCCATTTTCCCTGCTTAACTATTTATAACACTCTCCTCCCGCCAGCCCCAAACACTCTATGACCCAACCTCACCGAGTAGATTCGAGGAACACAGAAGCAGACTCTGTACCCATGAATCAGATTCATTCTCACTGGAAGCCCACTTCTGTGTGGTTCACACTGTGAACTCAATCTTTAAAGCTCAGTGTAGGCGCCAAGTCCTCCAGACAATCCGAACCATCTACCCTGCTTCTCTGATTCTTAGTACCGTTAGGATTATGTGCTTCTCCACTAGAGCACAACCACTTGTGTGTATTTTGATGTTTTGCTCACCTTTATCTTTCACTACATAGTAACGCTCTTTGAGTTTAGGGACCAGTTTTCATTGACCTAACTAAAAACACCTAGCCTATGGTAAACTTGGGACAAAATCAGTTGAGATTCTTTCTTTCTTTCTTTATTTTACTTTAGTAACTCCCTGCAGTTTAGCAATTCTGTGCTCAGCAAAAAATTTAATCCTTTGTTATGAAACAGTACCAACAATTAAAGGTTTAAGTGCAAGATGCACAACCAATAAAAAACAAGGAGGACTGTGTAGTGATGCTGGGTACTGGAAAAACCTACTCGCCCTGTATGAACTCTGGCCTGAGTCAGGAAACACAAGGATGGATCTTACAGGAAATATTTATAAGGTAGAGCACAGTTCATGAAAATGTCATTTTTACCTGGTAGTTTCATAGGTAGCCTCAGGATTGTTGCTGATCTTATCACTTATCATAGACAATTTAATGTTTCTCTCATTTTTACTAGGCTGTGTCTATATTTGAACAGATTAGCCTTATAAATGTGAACGATAACTCCCCTCCCATGAAATATAACTAAATCTAAGTCTTCTAAAAGGTTTTATTCATTTTTTTCAGCTGCCTCAGTTAAGGAAGCTGCAGTTACAACTTGTGGGTTGGTGCAGAGGAGGTGCAAGCACACAGAGATGCACACATATGTGGCAACCACAGGATGTAATCACTCTTTATGAGAAAACACTCCGCAGTGGATGAATCAAAGCCTATTAAGAAAGGCCTTTGATTCGAGGCCCATTCAATGAAACCAACATCCAGATAAACACAGAAGTCTCCAGACTGTCCATCTGAAGTTTAACTGTGTCACATGGAAACAACAACTCTATAAATACCAACGCCACTCCCACAGGGGCTTGGGAGCAGCCAGATGTGTCTGGAATAATATCCCACAGCTGCACATCTGGGTCCCATCGTTAGCACCCAGTTGCAGCTTTTGTTTTTTCCATTTGAAAATATTTTAAATTATTTGGCTTTCAAGCTGCTTTAGAAAATAGGGAGTGCTTTAGGAAAATACTAGGAAAATGCATTCAGCATAATTTTGATAAGTGGAATTACAAGGCCAAGAGGTAGTAATTTAAATTTTATATCATGTAAGCTTTTGTGATTCCAAAGTATCTTCTGGTATGTCTTTTCCCACTGTTTGTTGTTTGAGCAAGACTAGTTATATTTTCTTATTCACCAATACAGAGCCTATAAACAAATATTTTAATGTGAGTGTTGTTAAAAATATGATTTTGAACAGTCATGGAATCTGTGGTCATTTAATTACTATCAGGCTTGATTATTCAATATTTAACTTAAGGGGAATTTTACTAAGAAATTATCAGCTGTGCTCTCATTCCAGTTTTGTCCTTAAAGGAAAATGAAATCTAGTAGTTCACAGAAAAGAAAAAACTAGCCTGTTTTAAGGGCTTAGTATGTGCCAGATACCCAGCTGGGTGGTATGTGAACTCATTTGCTTCTTAGAACCTCTAAAGTAGGCAATGGTTTACTCACTTCTACAGACAAAGAAGCCGAGAGACCTTGGATGAGTGACTTGTTCCAAGTCATATTACAAAAAAGTGATGAAGTAAGGATCACTCCTAAATTCTGTTGGGCATCAAAGGCTGTTTCCCTCCCATTCACTGTGACATGTGTCAAATGCTACCTGTACTGCACTTACATAAAACACTGCGCCAGTGAGATGTAGGAAAAGAATGGCCACAACAACATGCTGTACTCTCTAAGAACTCAGCCTTAAGTAGAGGGACGCAAGACACATGTAGGAATAGCTACAGTCCAACCATCAGAGCAGAACAGCGTGTGCTAACAGGGATACGTATCCCAGGCTCTCCAGAAGTACAGGTGGGGAGGGAGGATGTGGAGATAGCTACTCTATGTGGGTGAGGTGTAGCAAGGAGAGAATCTGGAAAGGACTCATGAGAACAAATGAAACAGCTTGCCAGTCAGGTGGGTTACTGGGACAGAAAAGGGGGAGGATGTGTTAGAGTTGGACTCTAGTTAGAGGAACCGGTCACTGGGGCTGTAACTTCAGAGCAGATTTCCTCTCTGGCTCTTTTCCTCTCACTGTTTTCTGGCTGTCGTGAGGCAAGCCACTTCTCTCTGCCATGCCCTCTGCCACGATGTTTCTATCCAGGGTTTTATCACAGAGATTCCTAAGTGCACGCTAACAATTTTTATTACCCTATGGGGAACAGGGGGGAGTTATATTCTATATTTACTAAAAGCCCTGCTACTACTATACTCCCTACTATGTCACATTTATTGAGTACTTCTTATGCTTTGGACTCTTGAGAAGGTCTCAGTCCTTTCATCATATTAGCTGATTTGATTCTCACAATAAGCATGTGATCTGAGTAGTATCATCATTTGATGGACAAAAAACTTTAGCCAAGAAAAATTAGACAACTTGCCCAAAGTGATATAGAAAGCACATAAGTAATCTTTAGAGATTTACCCGATAACAGTACTTATATAATAATGGCACAATGAGCCAGGCGTGGTGGCGCACGCCTGTAATCCCAGCACTGGAGGCTGAGGCAGGAGGATCGCTGTGAGTTTGAGACCAGCCCGGGCTACACAGTGAGCTCGAGGTCAGCCTCAACTGCACAGAGAGACCCTGTCTCAAAAAACCAAACAAAGAAAGAAACAAAAAGTAATAGCACAATGTGGAGACTGGAAGGAGGGAGTCTAACAGGGATGCTATTTTCAAATATAAATAAGAAGTAGAGGGCATGAGAGAAGTACTGGTCAAATCCACATGTTAATAGATTTGAATTGGTGCCAGTGGAATCCTTCTGCTATTATAATTTGCTTGAATTTAATAATTAAATGAGCTTTCAAAGATTACTCGGCTTTGCATTTCAGGTAATTTTAGAGTTAGTTAAAGGAAGCAATTTCCTTGTAAGCAGAGTACTACATACAGTAGGAGCAAGATCTGTACGTGTCTGGCGAATCTCTCCTGTGGCACATGGATGGCGTCCTTGACTCACTGTGCTGGACGGTGTTCAGTGATTGCCGGAGATGATATAATTCACCAAGTTTTTTAGTTTGTTTTTTTTTTTTTTCAGGTAATAATGCTTAGATGACAAAGTTACAACATTACTGCTCAAGAAGCCCAGAAGGTCAAAGCAAAGCTACCTCATAGCTTCTTTCTTTCTCTTCCCTCAGATCCGTTTTATTCTACCCAGGTGATCTAAGCAGGCAGATCTGCCACTATTAAATTCCCAGCCCGAGTCTCCTTCTTCTTGTTTTTCTCCTCGAGCCTCATCTATTTCCGTTCAGAAGCTCTCTTCATCCCATATGCTTATAAATCTAGTTCTCATGTAGGAGTTGGGGGCTCCAATTCCTTTTCCTCATTTCTCTTTTAGAACAATTAACATTTTATTTTAAATATTTTTTAATCGTTCATGCTTTTAATTTCGTGAAATATTGGGTTTTAATGCATGTAATGTATCATCCCATTATACTTCCCTACCTCTCACATTCTGCTCCTGCCTTAGTTCTTTCTTCTTTCTAATAATAGTCTTCTTTCTACTTCTCTGTCATTTTCCCCTTTTTCTCATACCCTCTATAAAACACATTTTTCAGAATCCAAACTTGTTACCCACAGTGGAGATGGCGGCTTACACAAAAACAAAGCAAAATAAATATAGTCTGCACAGGGTAGAGTTTCTGCCCTTCCCAGTTTCGCTTTCTGCAACACAAACCCCAGGCTGGAAACAAGTCCATGTGTGACAGAGCCTGGCACACACTCAGGTGAGGGAGGGACCACCCCACTGATGTTCCGGGCTGCCTCCCGAGGAGCGTTATCAGCTGCCCTGGAAGCCAGCCATGGTTGTCTTTGTTGAAGAACGTGTCAGATAAGATTCCTGTGTAATAGAAATGCACACACTGAGCTAAGAGTTTCCTCGGGCTTGGATCTGATTTCCATGCATACACACGAGCAAGCTCATAGACCACCCACACACCGGAGAAGGTTGGGTAAACCTTGCTTATTTTAGGATTTGCGTGAACACGCATTGTGTGCTTTATTGTTTGGATGTAAAAGGGGTGGCTGAGGACAGTCCAGTTGTAGGCGATTATATTTCTCTTCATTTTTCCAACAAGACCCTTATACTGCTTGGCCTAGAACGCTCCCTTTCCCCTTCCATTTGCCTAAATCCAAACCTTGTGAGAAGAGCTGTCTGACCAGAATTTCCAACCTGCACTGAACTCTAGCAGTACTTACTCTCTGCCCCATATCATTTAGAATCTACAAGGTTTCTTGGTTTTAGATGTAGAAGCAGCCTTTGTAGGAGGCAGTGGTTAAGAACACATGCCTCAGAATGCTAAAAAGCTTGGATTCAAATCTCCATTTTACTGCATCTTATCAGAATGATCTTTAGCAAATTATCCAGCTTCTCTGAGTCTCAGTTTCTTCAATTACAACATAAAAATATTAATAGTGGTGCCTCATGTGATTGTTAGGATTGTTATTAAATAAAGTTTTCAGAACATTTGGCACAGAGCTGAGTACATAAGATGCACACATTAAAAGCTAGCTATGATTATTATTTTTAATAAAAGCATACACTATAAGAGATCAAGAATGTGTTACACATGAATGCCCAGGACTAATCTTTCCTGCTTTCCTCATTACTCTTATGCCATATGTCATTCAGAACATGGCCTTAGGAGACTGAGTATCTGGGTGCAAATTGTGATCTCTAGGGTATGTGCCTTTGTGGATGCTACTTTAAATGCTCAGTATTGGGTATATTGTTAACTGGTTGAGTTAATAACGTACCATCAAAAGTTCAAGTCACCTTCTAGCTCATTTTCCTGCTTCCACTCTAAATGTCACACTAGGAGTTTTGACTTTGTCCCTATAGGTAAGGAGGAAAAAGGGAATTTTAATCCAGGGAATGAACTGGTTAGATTTTTACTTTACAAGGATTGTTTGGTTAGATGCCCATAGAAAAAAGTCTAAGAGGACTTACATACAGTGTAGTAGAAAGTATAGTCAGAAAGGAAATCCTAGGTATGAGATGTTAAATATATGAATGGGAAAGTCATCAACCTTTCCGATGAACTTGGGAGGTGATGCATGCCTGTTATTCCATCACTTTGGGAGGGTGAGACATGAGAATCCTAAGTTTGAGCCCAGTCTGAGTAACTTAGACTTGGGGGAAAAAATTAAAAGGGTAGTGATGTAGCTCAGTACAAGATCCCTGGGTTCCATCTTTAGTACTGTCGTGGGTGGGGGTGGGGTAATATTGAAGATGATAGCTCTGCTTAGGCCCTGTGATATACTGAGAGATAAGGGGAAAAGGATTTGGAATAGATGAGAAAACTGAGTTGATGGTTAATCTGAAATTCTGTAGGACACCTGACTGATCTGTTGTACCATGTGGAATTCAGGAAGGAGATTGGCCAGAAATATAAATTAAAGGCTGTCCATGCTGTGAATTCAGAGGGATGGAGGAGCTTTCTCCCAGAGGACATTTTGGTAAGAGGGTAGAGGTTGAGGGCATGACTGAGATGTCTTCAAAAAGTAAGAGAACTAGAAGACAGTAGAGTTCAGCAGAGAGAGTTCAAATGAAAAAGATTACTTCTCTAATTATAGGAAAGTCAACTAACCTGGTTCATAAAGATATGTCAGAGTAAATGCAGACCTAAAAATACTCATAGGATTTGAAAAACAGGAAAGCAGTCGTAACCTTAATGAGCGCAGTCTGATGGAGAGAAGGTCTGGCACCCAGCACACAGTAGGTGCTCAAATACATATAACTGCTGGAGGCTTAAAACCAAAACCTCAGTAAAATGAGAAAGAAAACAAATAGACTCATAGGCTAGGAAATGTATGTAACGCTAGAAAACAAATCTCTTCTTTTTTAAAAAAAATATACAAACGCCATGAGAATACAAGCCCCGTTTCTCCCATGCCAGCAATAATTCTTACCTGGAGAGACCAGTCCATACAAGTGACCACCCGATGCTTAGACCAATGCTCATCATAAAACTGACGGTTGAAAGAGAGATTGGCTCCAGCCTGAACATCCCTAGGAGGATTAAACAGCAGAGATCAATAAGATGCTTCCAAATGGGGTTTTATCTCTACCTTATTTACATGGGAAAAGTAAAATGGCAAAAGGATAGCACAGGATACTCTCTAAAGCCAAAACATCATTCTAGAAAACAAACTCTGATCAGAAATAAATGAACCAAAGTTGGCCTCCTTCAGAAAACATCGACCATATGTTGACTCCAGCTGGTATGAAAGGTCAAATTTGTCTCAGGTTTCCACCTTGACCAGTCCTGAAGCATTCTCCCCCACTAAATTCTCTCCAGCATAAAGCACTGTCTATTAGAAATCTCTCTGCCAGCAAAAGAGCATAGCAACATAGGGAATTTTTTTTACATCAATACAACTTTATCTGTGATTAGGCCAGAAATGATATGCTCTTGTGAATTCTGATTGGCTTACTGGTTGCCTCCTTGCTCAATTGTGAGTGATAATTTCTACCATGAAACAGACATGGCAGACAGTGAAGGATTCACCAGATTTGTTCCAATTGTTTATCATTCCTGTCATGGACCAAATTAGCATTTAGATTTACGACGATGACACTCTGGCCAGTGTTTACTTGGTGGACATTCGATTGGCCCTCCTACCACCTTCAAAGAACTCAGTGCTGGGCATAAAATTGCTCCACAAGACTGGGGGCTTACCTTGAATATTGCACATTTTGTGCAAGCAGTGAATTAAAACTATCTAAATTTCTTGAATTCTCATTTAGGAACTCATCTGTATTGCTCTTTCCCCTGTTTATTTTCATTGCTCTGCTGGGTAACACCCTGTATCAATTATGCCGGACAACTCTTAATTCAGATTTGGTGACTTTCTTTAGACCACTGATTTGTGCTCTGATTAGTTGACCTGTTATGCCTTCTCCTTCCTTCTAGCCCTTCCTCAGCTGTATCCTTACAAACTTAGAGCCACACAGACTTAACTCTTGCCAGGAACCCAACATAATACTTGGCCAGCCATCCAGAAGGGCATAACAGCAACAAAATCAACTGATCCCAGAATAATACCTTTGAAAACAAAACAAACATTGTATATTTAGAATATTGCTGTCTTTTCAAAGTAGTCTAAAGATGTTGCTAAGTGTTGGGAACATTTTTTAAATTCTTATTTGAAATTGTTTTCAGAGCCTCTGATTCATTCTTTTGAGCACCCTTAATGATGATGACATTGTCCTTTAAGAATGAATTTGATTTGATCCCCATACCAAAAAAAAAAAAAGAATGCATTTGAATTTTAGGAACAGTGAAGAAATTAATTCTGATGAAAAAAGTAATTCTACCTTTGTATCTTGTCCCTGGACAAAAGAAGACTGTAACTAAGAAGACTGTAACTAAAAACCAGTTGTCTCTTTCTTATAAGGATTTTAAAGTGTCTCCTATTATTTCATGATGGTGGTTGATGGTTACTGTTTTTTCCCAACAGTTGTGCTACAGTTACAGAGAAAGGCATTTGGGCCCCTTTCTTTTTATTAACTAGTTGTTTGTTTTATCTATAACTGTATCATTGCCATATGTATCTCCTAAACGGTACTATTTTTACATGACCAAAAGCCTGGGCAACATAGCAGGACCTGTCTGTCTCTTAACAATCACCACCACCACGACCACCACAGCAACAACAGGAAAAACCTCAAACACCACAGGTAATTTATCACACTCTATAGTTTTACACGTACATAAGAGACTAACCCGTCTTTTTCCTCTAACTCTCTGCCGCTGTAGTCAAAAAAGATGTCAGAATCTTCGGCCAGTGCTCTTTCAATTACTCGTATTGTTCGATCAAAAAAGATGAGGAATTCTTCTGAATGAAGAATCTGCTGTTTTTCTTCTTCTGTCAGCTCCCTGGGAGGGGCTTTTTATGTAAAAAAAAATGATGTTAAGAAAGAAAAAGGTCAATTAAAAACTTTTCAAGAAAACTCCAGCTCTTGAAAGAGATGGCCTATCCAAGGAGCGCTGTGTCACATGAAATGAACCATTGCCAATATGGACTCTAAATTGTCCTCAAATTTATAGCAGACACTGTTGCAGGTATCCCCTTCCATGTGTAGCCTGATTACTGTTTTGAAGAGTTGAAAAAGATTGCAAGTGAAAATAAATTTTTGTGTTTTTAGTAATCAGTTTTAAATGTAATTTTCTTTATAACTGAACTTTAAAAAGAACCAGAATAGGGCATACTAGTATAAATTTATCAAACTATACAATATTGGAGACAGTTATGAAGCCACATAGATTAAATAATTAGGAACTGTCTATGATATGGTCCAGAGAGTCCCCTTATTTTTTCCTACTGGATAAATTTATTTTATTTTAGTTGGCTAGTTGGTAGACTGACATTGTTATAAAGCTGCATTAAAAAGCCAAAACATGTTTTCTCAAACTTGTTTTCATCTACTACGTCTTATAACCTTAAACAAACATGGAGCAAAGAGGTGCTTCTATGAAATGCCGCACAGTCGATTTTATGCCATTCTTTTCTTTTTTAGCATGATTAATGTTATCAATCGAAATGTGGAGATGCAAAGTGAGCCAGAGAGATGAAGTAAGATAGTGATATGTCACAAGGCTGATGGTTAGTTCACCTCGGAGTCGTGAGCTGGTTACATAATTCTTTCAGTAGCATTTCTGGCATAAAACCATAAGGAAATGATGAAGAAGCTCCCCGCCCCTCGCTGAAAGCCCTAAAGGGCAGAAACTGTCTGGTGAGCTTTATCAGTTCTTGAGGAATCTCAGTTCAGCTTCTGTGGTTTGATTGTTTACTTTTTCAGGTGTACAGGAACTCTAGAACTTTAGCGAGCAGGAGGGGAGTCGTGCATTTGAGACATAGCTATGTCCCCGGTGGAATCACATGCTGGCAGAGTTTCCCAAACACTTCCCTGACCATCTCCACGCTAAGGACCAGTTTCTTCCTGGCCATATGGTCAGAGAAAACTTTCAGGTATGGCCATTTGCAGCCTAATCTTCTCTAGAAGTGTTATTTGATTCGGTTAATGGTATCTCGAAGACACTATCCTAAGAAATATGAACTATAAAGACCTTCTGTAGGGTCGTAGTAGTGAATCTCAAGCTTTTAATGTTCATAACGTTTCTTCCCTTTTGGTTTCCTTTTCCCTGACCCAGACCATGGGACTTGAGAATCTGTATTTGTTCAAGGAAATAGCATGATTCTGATGTAGTTATTCTCACACCTTTAGAAGCACTGTCTGAGTAATACAATGATAAAACACGATTCATCAACCACAAGAGAAGACCTCTAAATACAGACCACCCCACAGTCCCAAGCATTCCTAAATATAGTGAGAAATATTTCTTTGCTGTTGAGAGCCCCAGAGCCCTACAAGTCCCGTATTCATTGGGACTCTCCCAAAACCCTGTCAACTTCTGCTATGCAGTGCTGCCCAGACACCAGTTTAAGAAATGGTGAGGCTGGCAATGAGCAGACTCAGACTTTGGCTTGGTACTGGAGAAATAGGCAGGGTCCATAAATAGCAGGAACTTGCAAAGCCAACCCAGAATCAAATATTGACCATGCCATTGCCTGGTTTTGATTTTTTAACCCATTAATTGAAGCTCTCTGCAGAGCATGTTTATCTATAAAATGGGGGTAGTGACCTCTAAACTTTAGTTTGGTATAAGGGTTAAAAGTAAATATAGTGGGCAAATAGTTGAGCTTTCAATAATTACTGGTTAAGTAATAATTTATAAGTCTATTTTCCAAAACTCCTTTGGATTACCTCACCCAATAATACAATAAAACTACTAAATGTAACTAGACTAAGGAAAAAAAATCCTACAAAATGCTGGATATATTTTGTTTTGTTTAACATTATAATTAAAGAAACTTCTTTTAACAAAGAGAGTATGGGCCAAGGCAACAGTCTTATTTGAAAAGACTCATTCAGCTTTGGCTACTGTTAATGGGTGACTTCAGACACAGGTGAAATTAAGAAAAAGTAGGAACCTTTCCCTCAACTTATTTTTTGGTGATATAAAAAAATCTTCCTAGTTTCTGTTTATCTTTTTGAGCCATTTCTATTTCACCCGTATCCTCTCTTACAGGTCCATTACCTTGAATAAAAAATAGTATCTGTGTAATTTTCTGTAATTTTTTCTTCCCTGTAGCTTACTGTCACTTTAATCTCAGCTTTCAAGACATACAGCCTTTTCTCTAGGAGACACATAAATGGCTGATCAAAGTGTATTTGCAGAGGCCGAGTTCAGGTAGGTGAAGCAGTAGCCTCTCCAGGTATTATGCTTGACAATACAATATTTGGCCTGAAATTAAATTGCTATTGAGGCAAAACAAAGAATATACTTTATATTAAGCTTTGATGTCTAACAAGGATCAAATGACATGATTTGTTGGAGCTAAATAATAACATGCAATGACTACTTTAGAAAGCCATAAACAATATTCAACTTACTAAAGAGGGCCATAGTTCTTTTTTATTTTAAAAAATTACTTTAAAAAAATCTTTAAATTGTTGTGTTGTTACAATATAATGAAAATGTAACAGAATACTCAAGAACTACAACCAAAAGAAGTATTCAGAAATAAAACCTCCCTGGATTTCTTTTTAAAAAAAGGCTGATTAGTGGAATACACAAAATGTGCAATACAGAAATAAACAGATATAACCATAATTGTTTTATTACAGGATGGACCTCAAATTCTCCGAAACATGTTTCTGCAACTTTTCTCTATCCCTGAAGCATAGTGGATTATTTTGAAAAAGCTTGTGATACAAAACTATAGGAACTGATTTCAGAGCAAACGGCATACCAGATAAAACAAAAGCATCGGTAGTTGTGACTGTTTAGATTTAAAGTGTCCCTCCAGAGCCTCATGTGTTTAGAAGGCTTGGGGAGGTGATTGCATCATGGGGGGCACCATACTCACCAGTGAGTGAACCCACTGAAGAGTTCAAGGCTGCATGTCCTGGTAGGCAGTTGACGGAGGGGTGTATCACTGGTGTGTGACCTCCCTAGGTGCATATCTCCCTCCCCAGCTCCTCCTGTTGCCTCTGCCTCCTGGCTGCCGAGAGAAATTTCCTTCCCTTCCTTCCACCATGCCATTTGTGCCTTGGAGTTCACTGACTGAAACATCGAAAACTGTAAGCCAAAATGAATCTGTCGCTCTTTAGGTTGTGGGTATCAGGTATTGGGTCACAGTGATGAAAACGTGACTAAGGCAACAAGATTTTATTTTCTTATAAGTTTAGCAAAAAATAATATGACAATTGATTTTGGTTGGTTTCACAACAACATATTCTTTCTAGAGTTGACAGTTACTAATACTTCATTCATGCCATGTGCCCTTTCTTACTCAAAACTAAAAGTAGAATGCTTATATGACCTAGCTACACTATTCTTGGGTATACAGCCCAAGGAAATGGAAGTCAGCATACAAAAGAAATACCGATACCCATGTCTCTTTGGACAATATTCAAAATAGCCAAGATAAGGAGTCAGCCTAGGTACCATCAGCAAATGACTGCATAAAGGAACTATCTATGTACACAGTGGAATACTACTCAGCCATAAGGAGAGTGGAATCCTGTCATTTGCAGGACAATTGATAGAACTGGAAAACATCATGCTAAGTATTTTCTCTCATATGGAGAAATGAAAACAAAACAAAACAAAAAAAATGCAGATCACTTGAAAGTAGAAGGGAACTATTAGGATCTGGGGAAGGGATCTGGGAGAAGAGGGAGGGTAGGGAAGGGAGGGGAGACATAATCACTGCTTGATATGTGCATGTATGGAAAGAGATACGTCCCTTTGTACAAGTAGTAATGTGTTCATAATAATAGAGTCTTAAAAAGATTACGAAAATCAGAACACATGGATATGACCTGCATATATTTTAAATGACAAGATAATTTTCAAATTTACCAAAAATTTTACCTAGTGATATTTAGATTGATTAACATGCATGCAAGAAATGTACCAGATTCATGAAATTCAAATTTTAGATGACTAATTCTATGTATCTGTGGCCTACAAAATTAAAATCTAATATAAATTTTATTTAGGATTCCCATTTAATTCTTTTCATTGTAAAAATGTTAATTTCTCTTAATCTTACATATGAAAATACTTTTTTGTATACCTTTCAAAATGATTCTATCTTATTTGCTGTATTTTCTTATTCACCTTGTAAGTACTTTATCAATTTCTCTTTAATTGACCCTACTTACTCTATTCTGTACACTTTGACTTCTAGGGTTCTTAGAATTTTTTCCTGGGTAAAGATACAAAGTTCGTAATGAAGCCCCCACTTAAATTGATTACTTTAATACCTAATTTCAGGTTAAAAATGATTTTTAAAAAATATCTACTTCAGAAATGCCTGGCCTTGTTTCAGTGATCCAGTATTAAGTTTCAATATTCAAAGTTATATTTAAAAATATTTTTCAAGATTACCAAAAGATAAATTAACCCACACAGTCAAGGAAAATATCAGATTACATTGGGATAGTGGCCGTAAAGGGAATTGGATGGTAAAATCAGTTCATAAATAGCCACAAGGAACCCAAACTGAGCTAATGTAAGGACTAAGCTAATGTATTGGAGTTACTGAGAGGTTTATGAATTAATTTGCATTTTCAAGAGTGGGTGTTCTGTCTTGACTCCTTTAATAGGAAGACACTGGGGCACCGACATATAGAAATTCTCCAAAGTTTAATTGAAAGCTGAGATGTACTTGTAGTGTTTTTTTTTTTCCTGACCCATTCTGGATAAAAAAATGAAAACACTAATAAATCAAAACTATGGTTCTTCACTATTTAATGCATTTTGGTGTCACATAAGCAAAAAGTCAAAAGCTAGTGAGTACTGATTTTTCCCCCATCTCTCCCTCACCACTTTGTCCCCTTTCATTCCAAAAACGGGGGGAAAAAAAAGCACCAAACAGATTTCTTAAAAATGTGCTCCCTGGTTTGAAACCCTGTATGCCAAGTTTCAGCCCAGAGCAAATTTTTATGGCTAAGTAATAAATCCCTGAAACGCAGGGTTCATAATGGAAGTGCTGACACAGCCCTGACTTCTATGCCGGCCTGTGAATGGCGCCACGATTATATCTGCTAGAGATTCTTTTAAAACTTTGCAAAATACCGCCTTCCCTAAAAAAAAAAAAAAAA